TTGCCTCTTTCTACTCCCTACCTCTCTCTCCACTCTCTATTCCTCTTCCTCCCTCCCTCCTTTCTACGTCTTGCTCTTATCCCTTCTCTCCTTCCTTATTCATCTCCCTCCCTCTAAACCTTCCTCTTTCTTGTACCCTTCTTCTATCACTCCGTCTCCATTTCCTCTCCTCCGCGTGTGTCCTTATTCCCCTTTCTCCCTCCTAAATCACCTTACCAACGCTGCACCAAATACAACATGAAAGCAGACAGCGTGTGTGTCACCCGACGAACACATTATGCCTCTTTTCTTCTAAATTGCACGTCTTTTTTCTTCTATTTATTTCATATTATAGACCTCTAACAGTTTATCGTGTCTTTGACATCTATCCTCTTCCTTCTCTCTCTCTCTCTCTCTCTCTCACACACACACACATAAATACATAAATTCATACTATATAATGTACATATACATATATATGCATACATATAAATAAACATATACATACATATAAACACACACAACAAATGCATATATATAAATATATACATATTAACACACATAATATATACTATATATATATACACACACACACATATATATATATATATATATTGTGTGTGTGTGTGTATATGTGTGTGTGAGTGTATATGTGTGTGTATGGCTGGATGTACGTATGTATATATGTATACATGTATATTATATATGTATGCATATACATAATAACTTCGTATAGCATACATTATACGAAGTTATACGATTTCTGCAATAAGTCTAGTTTGTGCATTGTGGGGGTTTCTATCATAATATCAACACGGTTGCGTGTTTTTCTATTCATGTGTATATGTGTGTGCGTGCGTGTGTGTGTGTGTGTGTTTCAGTATTCACATGTATATGTAAATGCATACATATGTATATGTATATCGTAATAACTTCGTATAGCATACATTATACGAAGTTATACGAGATTCCGAAACTGTTGTCTCACTTTCTGCAATAAGTCTAGTTTGTGCATTGTGGATTTTTCTGCCATATATATACATACAGATACATATATATAAGACATACATATGCATATATTCATAAATATTCATATATATAGATATATATACATACATATATAAATACATTCAGATAGATAGACATAGATGCAATTTACCAAAAGACTTTCACTCTGCAGACGAAAACTGTAATGCCAGCTACCCCCCCCCCCTCCCGCCGGGCCCGACGCCGCACAAAACCCCAGGCGCGAACAAATACATAAAACAGGGAGCGAGATAACGGCAGACTGGTCATCACCTGGCACAGAGCGTGTGGTGGCCAGGCAACCGCTGCCAGCAAGATCCATACAATCGATCTCGAGCGAAATACATCACTTCCACACACACACACACACACACTTCCTGTTGGTAGTCTCCCCCCCCAACCCTCCCACACTCTCTTCTTCCGCTTCATAAAAGTTAGAGGAGACCAACTGAAATCTGCCATCATGAGGAGTGCGTGTCAGTACATTGTCGTGAGGCAGCGATAATCGTTATCATCCTACATTGAGAAAATTATCAGTGATAAGCTACGGGAAATGTTCCATCTTGAAAAGGATAACACTTTTTTGGCCACAAACATCAAAACAATGTCAAGTTCCCCGTCCCCGTTTCAGTCTGTGGGTCAGACTGATCAAATCGAAGTCGTGGGACAAATAAAATGCCGAGACAGAATCACAGGATCATTTAATCAAATTATTTACAAAGAAAACCGCCATTTCACAAAGCATTATTGGAAAACAGACAATGAAATCTCGATCCATTCATTCACATCTAATTGCAATATCGATGCATAAAAATCATGACCCAATATAACGTTAAGAAAATACAAAATACTTATTTTATGGTACATTTTATACACAATAAAACTCTTTGAAGCATATTAGTCTATCGTTTTACAAACAGCTGTCACAAGTTGAAAATTCAAACGCTATCTAAAAACTGAAACCAAATCTGCGGGACTAGTTGATTCATTTGAAAAATCGTCAAACTGATGGCGAAAACCTAGCGCAGATACAGTACTAGTCAGACCGTAAGCAGTGGTTGTCTTCGGGAGCCCAGTCGGAGGCGTTTGAGTGAGATGCGTGTGTGGGCGATTCCGAAACCCACGTGTATTCCCAGACTCGGTTTCCCGAACACATCCACTGTGCCCATATATCATTCTTTCTCGTTTGGCAAACGGGGTAAAGTAGCAATGCCAAGCGTTTTAAATTATAATCTTTCTTTTTTATTATTATTATTATTAGTGAACACCAGGATAATAAATTCCGGGTTATCGTGAAACGAAAGTCCCGCCACAGGGCCAGACGTTCCTCTAGGAGGCTTTAGGGTTCTGCGAGAAGGGGAGTCTTCTCTTGCGCTCGCTGGTACGACACCGACGGCGCGTCGCCCCCACTGCCACTAGCGCTGCCGCTCGCACCGGGCGGCTGCCGCCCCTGGAACGGGACCGGCTGGAAGCTTCCCCCAGGGGGCCCCTGGGG